TCTCTCCATCTCTCCACAATCACATCTATTATCACTCCTAATTGTCACGCACACAACATACGAACCGATTCTAATAATTTCCTACAAACACCTTCCTCGTGGGATTGATAACTTTTATACTATAACTTGATTAATTATGCACTTGTAATTTTTGGTATATGTTTATGCCGCATCAAGTTTTTGGCATCGTTACCAGAGAAGGTGCTAAGTAGGTTTTAATTATTTTGGTTCTTTAATTTATGTGTTTTCTTATGAAAGAACTACTTGGAGATTAAAGATCAAGGATTAGAGATTAATTGGAGATCCGTTTGTGGTAAGTCTTCTTCCTAATATTTTCAATTCCACACCTTCAGTTAGTTCCTCAAAATTAGCGACAATTAGGATCTAAAAAAATTCGTCAACCATAATAAAATTCACTCTCCATTTGAATAATTCCTAACAAGATAATAAAGTCAAACAAGGCTCTCTTCTCACATTTTTTTGATTGCTAACCTTAAAAAAAAGTTTTTCTTTTTATCATTCTTTTGTGGTTGCTTTTAATTCATAGGGTTGCATTGCATATAGTTAGTAGGAATTCACCCAAGTGATTTGAGCATTTTGATTTGACACACACTTAAAAACATTCATTACTTCCTCACTACACAAACTCAAGCCTTTTTAAAACTCATTAGACGTCGACCCCTAAGGACTCGAGCTCAATAAGGAACAAGAAATTCCTAAGTGAACCGGTTCAAGTTTTCTTGGATTAGTTGGTATTTAAGGTAAGGTTTAGGGGTTGCGTAAAGCGCTCTGCAAGGAACGATATACTTAATTGATCTCTGATCATCCTCTAGTACTATCCTTACCTAGCTAATTAACCGAGTAAAATGTTGATCTTTGCACTTAAGGAGATTTTAGTTAGGAGCTAGTCTGGCTGAGTTAGGCTTAACCCTAGAATTTAGAGTGATTGCAAAGTGATTATTTTTTATTTGCTTTAGTTAGGTTTTTCCTTTTTTCTCATTATAAAAAAACTAACTTTTATTTTTCTTAAAAAAATTAGAAAAAGAATTTGTTTTTGGTGCATGCAAACTGGGATTAGGGATAATATTAATCGTTTAATCTATTTTGAGCTAATTTTCGAAGACATGGCCTATCCTAATCCACCGGTTCTTCAAGTTATGTGTTATCAGAAAAGACCAAAAAAAGAAAAGATAAGTCTGATTTTAGTTTTGAGAAAATCTTTGATGAGGAGTTGGAGTTATTAGAAGAAGTAGATCAGGTTTGTCAGAATAAGGAAACTATGTTAAACATTTACTACTTTAAGCTGAATTTTGAAGAACTCTTTCTTGATGAACTTAGATTCTTAGAAAATAAACAACAGCCAAATTTTCATACTTCAACCATGAATCTTGGGGTTGAGGAAGTTGTTAAAGAATAATTGGTTGTTAAAAAACAAAACTTCACAAATCAAGAGTCCAAGTTTATTAAGAAATTCAAAATGCATGACACCAATAATATCTACCTTACATTATTACAAGAATCCTTGAACACCCTGGAATGCTTGGAATTTCAGCACATCATTGATTATATTATTTTGAATTTATTTAAAATCCGAAGGAGAATTTTTAGCAATAAGGTAGGATTCAATGTAGAATACGAGCTCTTCATGTTGAACTCTTCATTCTACATTATTTGTTCTATTTTATTTCATAATAATAAAAAGAATTTATTCTTCTCTCATTTGAGAGTTTCTTGTTCGGTTGTAAAAAAATAAAATAGAAAAAATCAAAAAAAAGAAGAATAAATTTTTAATTTCACCCTCCTCAGACCATAGGCAATTGTAGATTTTTACCATCTAAATCAGTCGACCAATGTAAATACTTCTTATCTGCATTACTTTGTGCATCATAGAGTTTGTATTAAGGACAATACAAAATATAGGTGTGGGGGTGGGAATTAGTTAATTTTCTCTTTATTTTACCTTTTTAGTTGCATTTTTTGTTATTTTTTTCTTTTTCTTAAAAAATAAAATTATAAAAATATTGTCACTTGAGAAATTGATAGAGTTAAGTAATAATTGATTTATTTGATAAATTTTAAATTTTTTAATTCCTAGTTTGTTATTTACTCAAGTTCACATTTTATGATAACTCTAAATAAATTTCTTAAGAAATAATTTTTAAAGTAGTATACTTTACTTACGCCTTAACTTAGACTTTTATTTATAATAATAAAAAAAATTCATGCTTAGCTTAGAGTTGAAATTAATTTTTTTCAAAATGTCTTGATTTACATATTTTTTAGAATACACACACACACACACACACACACACACACACACACACACACACACACACATATATAACCTTGCAAAAGAAGAGTGCAGAAAATAGGCACCAAAAGAAAAAACTCTTGAATTCAAAGTAATTCTATCTTATAAAGCCTAAGTTGACTGAGTAATTAAGCCCAATGAGTATTTCTATACTTAATGACCTAAGTCCAATTGCGTTGGGATCCATTGGCCCAAAACTCGTTAAATGATCACTTAGAAAGCCCATTAAAGTAGAAAAAAATCACCAAGGAAGAAAGAGTAAAAAATAATTTTGCTAACAAATATTATATATATATATAGTTACATTTGCATATATGGTCTTGAAAAATATTTTCGATCAAACAACTTGAAAATTATTTAAAACAAAGAGTTAGCATGTTTTTTCAAAACTTTTAAATTAAATATCTAAGTTTGGCTTGGTTTTGTATTGCTATAACAAGAAGATTTTCTAGGAAATTTACCTTAGAGTTATATATAAACACGTTTTCTTGAGTCATGCCAAGCTTCAATTAGATTGTCAAAATTATCAAGTAAATATAGTTTTTTACTAACTTCTTTAAATTGGCAAGTTGACCAAATTTTATGGGTATTTTCATTGTAAACCCTCACGAGATTATAACTCGTCCACTAGGGTAACCTAGGGGTTTAAAGACTTGTTGTATACGCTAAATACAACCGTGATTCCTGCGAAAGTGAGTTAGGATTTTTCTTTTTCTTTCTTTGCTAGAGGAATAGCAAAAGTTTAGGTGTGGGGGTATTTAATAATCATATTTTTATTACAATTTTATACCCTCATTATCTATTTTATATGAATAAATACACCATTAATAATTGTTTTTATCTTTATCTTTAAATACAGGTTAATCAAAAATGAAGCCCAACAACCATATCTCTCAACAAAGTGATAAACACGAATATTCTCTATGTTTAGACTATGTTTCACCTACAGATTCATTGTTATTTGATGTATTTCCTTGCATTTTGGCCATGTTAAGCTCCCTAGTTCTTGTTTACTGCTCTATTTATATATTGTGTAGGAATTACTGGAGCATAGCACAGATTCAGAGTCAAGAAGGAGTCAAGGAATGCATGAAAAGAGGTTACGTGGTCCCCCTGTTCCAACAACACAGGCGTGTTAAATACAGAAGAAAAGCCCAGAAAGAGCAGAGGAAAACAATTAAACACGGCCTGCTTGTGTTGATCTACACAACCGTGTTGGATGTCAAAAATCAGTTATCACGCGATTTTAAGCAAAATTTGATTTTATCTGCTAACACATCTTTCTCTAGACTTTAAAGAAAGACGTTCTGAGGTATCTGGGAGGCACCAGAGGTTGGATTTTTCTCTTTTTCTTTCTTCTTCTTCTCCCCATCTCTCTAAAAACTCTTAGATTAGGATTTCTTTGATTTTGCAAGGTGCTAGTTGTGGAGATTTGTGGACAACATCTCGATTTCGACACTACGGTTTATTTTTCTAATTTATCTTGTTTTCCAGTTTACAATTATAATCTTATACATTGTCATCATGTCTTCTATTTCAATTATGTGTGAGTAATCATTTTTTTCTAGGATTGAATGAGGTTAGACTACGGTTGTGAATCAATGAAGTGATTTTGTTATTATCATTAATTATTTGATTTGCATTATTTAATTACTAGTATCTGATTGCCTAGGGTTAATTCAATTGGCCGTTGATTTGACTCTTCTAGGATGTTGATTTGAACTGAAAGGTTAAATCGACACCGAAAAATAGTAATTGAACAGGAATTAATTGATCACGAAAGTAGGTTAATTATTCTTGGGAACGTGAGAGATTAACATGAACTTAATGGGTTTAATTCGGTTTAGCACCAGGAAAATAGATTGTTAGGCTAAATTAGGCACGAATTTTAGTCGTCGAAAGAGACTAATAGTTATCATAGGTTAGTCGTTCTTAATGCATTGAGAGGTTCGATAACAATTGATTAATTTGTTAATTCAAACTAGAGTTGAAACCGAAATTCAATCCTAGATTCTTTTAATTGAGTGGATTCGCTAGTTAGCGCGTTCGTTATTGATAGTTAAAAATCATACTTTTTAGCACGATTGGTTTAGATAGTCACAAAACAGTAAAAATCAGTAATTAACAACGAAGTCCCTAAGGATACGACCTTGTATTGCTACAACGACATCTGTGCACTTGCGGATTTGAGTGAACAAGTTTTTGGCACCGTTGCCGGGGACTTCGGTATTATTAATATTTACTTTTTAATTGTTTGACTAGACTAGACTTTTCTTTCATCTGTTTTATTTTTATTTTTACATTTGACTTATTCCTTTGTTTTCTTGTGCAGACACCTTTGTATGCCTAGATCCTTACCCCTTAGAGAACCAGTCGAGTGTGATCCTGAGATTGAAAGAACCTTGCGTCATATTAGGAAGAGGGTACGAGAAACAAAGGACAATTTGAAAAGTAAAAATATGGGAGACCAAGATAACCAAGACAATCAGGACTGATCTTTAAAGGAGTTTGCATCACCAAACACACATAACTCCCAATCTATCATCGTGAAGCCTAATGTTGCTGCCAAAAACTTTGAACTCAAGCCTTCACTCCTCTCCATGTTCAGCAAAACTAGTTTGGTGGTACTCCAACTCAATATCCAAACCTCCACATCTCAATCTTTCTAGAGTATTGTGACACCCTGAAGATGAATGGAGTGTCGGACGACGCGATCAAGCTACGGTTGTTTCCCTTCTCACTAAGGGACAAAGCAAGGCCTTGGCTACAATCACTTCCACCAGGCTCCATCACCACTTGGGACCAACTCTCAGAAGCATTCCTTACTAAATACTTCCCTCCAAGCAAAACAGCCCAGTTGAGGAATCAGATAACGACCTTCACTCAAAAAGAAAGTGAGTCATTGTATGATGCTTGGGAGAGGTACAAGGATCTTCTAAGGATGTGTCCACATCATGGGTTGGAGGATTGGCTCATAATCCACACCTTCTACAACGGTCTTCTCTACAATACTAGGATGACCGTGGATGCTGCAGATGGTGGGGCTTTAATGAACAAAAGTGTGCGAGATGCAAAACAACTCGTAGAGGATATGGCACAGAACCATTTCCAATGGTCAGGTGAACGCTCTTTACCCAAAAAGAACGGGAGGTATGATGTAGATGCATTAGACCACATTGCTTCTAAAGTAGGTGCTTTATTTTAGAAATTTGACAAGATAAGCATAAATTCAGAAGCATCTAACTCTACTAACTGTGAAATATGTGGTATCATTGGACATTCTGCTGTGGAATGTCAGATTGGATGGTATCATTGGACATTCTGCTGTGGAATGTCAGATTGGAAACTCCCCTTCTCCTGATGCACCACTATCTGAACATGTTAATTATATGAATAATTTTAATCAAAAAGGGGATCCATTTTTTGATACATACAGCCTGTGGTGGAGAAATTATCCTAACTTAACCCATAAAAATCCACCCGAGAACCCAACTCCCCAATCAAATTTTCAACCTCTAGGTTTTCAGGCCCTTAGACTCCCTTACCCTACTCCCCAAAAGTCCAACTTGGAGACCTTGATGGAGAATTTTGTGACATCCCAGAATAAGCAGAATGAAGAATTCAGAAATCAGAATAGGATAATGAATGGTGCAATTAAGAACCTAGCCTCTAAAGTTGATTCTTTAGCCACCCACAACAAAATGCTAGAGAATCAGATCACTCAATTAGCCCAACAATTTAGCTTTTCTTCTAGATCTTCAAGGATGTTTCATGAACAACCTGAAACCAACCCCAAAGGATCTGTCAATGCCATCACACTTAGGAATGGAAAAGATTTAGAGGAACCAATGATGAGGAGTGACCATAAGGATGTGGTTGATGAGAGTGAGAAGCTAGTGACAAGTGAAAAAGAACATGCTGGTGAGAAAGGAGAAAATGTTGAGAGATATGTTACGTCTGCACCTTACAAGCCTCCATTACCCTTCCCTCAAAGGCAAGTTAAAGCTAAGTTGGAAAAGCAGTTTAGGAAATTCATAGAAATATTAAAAAAATTACATATTAACATCCCATTTGTTGAAGCCATTTCCCAAATCTCCTCCTATGCCAAATTCTTAAAGGAGATTCTATCAAATAAGAGGCGATTAGTGGAATATGAGACTGTAGCCTTGACCCAAGAGTGTAGTGACATCATACAAAATAAGCTACCACCTAAGCTTAAAGATCCTGGCTCATTTTCAATTCCTTGCACAATTGGTGATTGTTTGTGGAAAATTTACAGTAAAAAGAAACGAAGGAAAATTAATTTGTATTCCTTTAATCTCAGTTATAATTGTATTTCATCAAATAAGAGGCGATTAGAGGAATATGAGACTGTAGCCTTGACCCAAGAGTGTAGTGACATCATACAAAATAAGCTACCACCTAAGCTTAAAGATCCTGGCTGATTTTCAATTCCTTGCACAATTAGTGATATGTCAATTAATCGTGCTCTATGTGATCTTGGTGCTAGTGTCAGTCGTATGCCATTGTCTATATGTAATAAGCTGCAGATGGGAGACTTGAAGCCCACCACTATCTCCCTCCAATTAGCAGATCGATCGGTAAACGTCCGATAGGTATATTAGAAGATATACCTATCTAGGTTGGTAAATTCTATATTCCAGTCGATTTTGTTATTCTTAAAATTGAGGAGGATTCTCAAATCCCCAATATATTAGGAAGACCTTTCCTTGCTACCACTGGCACGGTGATTGATGTGAAGAATGGAAAGCTCTCTCTCAATATAGGGGATGAAAAGGTGAATTTTGACTTGTTTTCAGGTATGAAATTTCCACTAATTGATGATAATTCTTGCAGAATTGATACAGTTGACATGGTGGTTAGAGAAGACTTTACTAGATATATCTCAGGTGATCCACTTGAGAAATGCTTAGTAGAGAATAGGGCACCAGTTAATGATGATCAGGAAATAACTTGCTATGTTACAATGCTTGATGAAAGCCCCACCTACACCAAAACCACCTACAGCAAAGAACCTAATGCAGTGGCCGAAATTACAAAGGGTTTGAATGACCAGGTTGTGTCCGTGGACACAACTGTGTCAAAAAGCAGCAAAAAAAAAGTCCAGTACAGGTTTGTGAAGGAAAAACTGCACTTAAGGTAGAAAAAAGGCACATTGGGCTATTAAGAGCATTCATTTAGATTTGAAAGAAGCAGGAGAACGGAGTAAGCTCCAACTTAAAGAACTTGATGAATTGAAGTTGGATGCGTATGAGAATACCAAGATTTATAAAGAAAGAACAAAGAAGTGGTATGATCAATATATCCTCCGTAAAGAGGTTACCGAATGAGACTTGGTACTTCTATTTAATTCTCGACTCAAGCTTTTTCCGGGCAAACTTCTTCGAGGTGGTAGGGCCATTCCAAGTGCGTAAGGTATACCTATTTGGGGCTGTTGAAGTATGGAGTGAGGTTACGGGAACCTTCATGGTTAATGGACAACGGTTAAAGCATTATTTCGCAGCACTCCAATCGAGAAGTTGTGTTCTTTTACCCTTCCCAATCTATCATCACTGTGAGCATTGAAGGGGTCGAGCTCATAATCATAAACGAGCGCTTCTTGGGAGGCAACCCAAGCTTTTCTTTCACTCTATTTTTCTTACTAGTATTTGATTTTAATTAGTTTTCTAATTAGGTTGATGTGAATTGATGCGCAGGTGGATAACGAGATGGGTAGCAAAAAGTTCAAGGATAAAGAACAACCAGAACTGATATGCTGAATTGAAGTAGAGAAGACTACAAAAAAATGTTAAATAATCAGTTTACACGGCCAGGTTGTGTCCACATACATAGCCGTGTAGCTGCCGGGCGACAGTCTTCACTTCGCTTCCAGAGTCTGCAGCACCCTTGATATGCTAGACACCAGAAAAATCAACCATTCCAGACCTTCACCACCACCTCAATGAGCAGTGAGTCTCATTTCTCTTCCTCATTTCTGATTATTCCAACACATTAGGGACAATGTGCAATTCAAGCATGGGGGAATGGGATGATGTTTCATGTCTTTATATATGCTTTGGTGTGTTTTTCTGCGTGTTTTTGAATGCTTGTTTTCCATGTTGCCTTTTCCATTGTTTCCTTCTTTAAAATAATAATAATAATAATAATAATGAGAGAGAGAAGAAAAAGAAAAAAGAGTACCACTATTTGCAAACCCTTTTGACACGTACATCATTTATTTCACATGCCCCATTGTTAAAATAAAAAAAATCTCTGTTTCATGTTCAGTTGATTAGGATGTCATCTGTTCGAGTTCAACTTTGTCGATATTTGACTCTAGACATTGGAATAAATAAGCACGGCTTTTGGCTTAATCCATCTAATTAGTATCTAGGCTCCTTTGGTGACTTAGACTACTTTTTGGTTACTGGAGAAACATTCGGCCTTGTATAAAAAAAGGCTCCTAAAGTCTGTTGCACCGAGTACCTGGCACCGCACCCTCAGAAGTATGACAGTCATGTCAATAGGTGTTAATTATGATGGGATCTTCATAAAAAATGAAAAATAAATAAATAAATAAAATGCAAGGAAACCGAGTGCTCCTTTGAGACCTTAAGTAGGAAGAGTATGACCCATTGTGATGAGATATGTGCCTGTCACGAGTAGTTTTGGACAATCAAGTAAATATATATATATAACTTTTCCATACCATTTTTCCAATGTTTACGAGTTGAGTCACTTGCACTAACATACGAGAAATCCTACGGATGCTTTTACTTCAACTTTGAACTTGAGACAAGATTTTTGTTTGATATTGGGCTGAGTGGAATGATGTTGCATGTGAACTTGAGAATAGTGGATACCCTTGTGCTTATTTTCTATTTCCGTTGTCATTTCTTTGAATCTGTGCCCTCATGCGTGTGTGTTTCCATTTGTTTTGCTTGAGGACAAGCAATAGTTCAAGCATGGGGGAGTTGATAAACACGAATATTCTCTATATTTTGACTATGTTTTACCTATGGATTCGTTGTTATTTGATGTATTTCCTTACATTTTGGTCATGTTAAGCTCCCTAGTTCTTGTTTACTGCTCTATTTATATATTGTGTAGGAATTACTAAAGCTTAGCGTGGATTCAGAGTCAAGAAGGAGTCAAGGAATGCATGGAAAGAGGCTACACGGTCCCCCTATTCTAACAACACAGGCGTGTTGAATACAGAAGAAAAACCCAGAAAGTTCAGAGCAAAACAATTAAACACGGCCTGGTTGTATTGATCTACACAACCGTGTTGGATGTCAGCAATCAGTTATCATGCAATTTTAAGCGAAATTTGATTTTATCTATTAACACATCTTTCTCTAGACTTTAAAGAAAGACGTCCTGAGGTATCTGGGAGGCACCAGAGGCTGGATTTTTCTCTTTTTCTTTCTTCTTCTTCTCCCCATCTCTCTAAAAACTCTTAGATTAGGATTTCTTTGATTTGGAAAGGTGCTAGTTGTGGAGATTTGTGGACAACATCTCGATTTCGACACTATGGTTTATTTCTCTAATTTATATTGTTTTCCAGTTTACAATTATGATCTTATACATTGTCATCATGTCTTCTATTTCAATTATGTGTGAGTAATCATTTTTTCTAGGATTGAATTAGGTTAGACTACGGTTGTGAATCAATGAAGTGATTTTGTTGTTAACATTAATTATTTGATTTAAATTATTTAATTACTAGTATCTAATTGTCTAGGGTTAATTCAATTGGCCATTGATTTGACTCTTCTAGGATGTTGATTTGAACTGAAAGGTTAAATTGATGTTGAAAAATAGTAATTGAACAGGAATTAATTGATCACGAAAGTAGGTTAATTATTCTTAGGAACGTGAGGGATTAACATGAACTTAATGGGTTTAATTCGGTTCAGCACCAGGAAAATAGATTGTTAGGCTCACGAATTTTAGTCGTCGAAAGAGACTAATAGTTATCATAGGTTAGTCGTTCTTAATGCATTGAGAGGTTCGATAACGATTGATTAATTTGTTGATACAAACTAGAATTGAAACCGAAATTCAATCCTAGATTCTTTTAATTGAGTGGATTCGCTAGTTGCACGTTCATTATTGATAGTTAAAAAACATACTTTTTAGCATGATTGGTTTAGATAGTCATAAAATAGTGAAAATCAGTAATTGACAATGAAGTCCTTGAGGATACGACCTTATATTGCTACAACAACATCCGTGCACATGCGGATTTGAGTGAACACAAAGCCCATATATTAAATGAAGAATATAAGCAATAGCCAAAAAAAGCCCAAGCCCAAAGCAATTGGAAGAAGAATTATGCGAACAACAAATGGAGGAGGCTGGCCATCGATACCAGCATCGATGGCGGTATCGATGCCCCCATCGATGCCCCTATCGATGGCTACGAGTCTGTTACTATCCTATGACTAAAATTTGATTGTTTTGGATAAGATTTCGATCCAAGGGCTCACATTCATTGATACTTACTATAAATAGAGATAAAGAGTGAGGGTTAGAGGTGTAAAAAATTTTATAACTCCATTTGGAGAGAAGAGTTACTCTTAATTGAGAAGACCTTTTAATTTTGTAACTTTTTGTTATAATCAATAAAAGAATTTTTTTTACCTCTTCATATTTTTCTTTTCTTCTTTTTGTTTGATGATGAAGATGAAAAGGGGATGAAGATGAAGATCAACAGTGAGGTTTGTTTTCATCTTGAGGCTAGAACCCTCTTGGGTGGTAAATTTCCTCTTTGTTAATATTTTTATCTTTTTATTTTCTTGCTTAAATATCCAAGAGGCTAGAATCCTCTTGCCTTAGATTTATTTCATGCTTATAGAGTAGATTTATTTCATGCTTATAGAGTAGCTTTATTTTCTCGTATTTAATTCTTGCAATTTATTTTATAGTTTAGTTTTTGTAATTTATTTTGTAGTTAGATTTTATTTTCTTATACTATTCACCTTGAGGTTAGAACCCTCTTAGGATTAGTTTTTATTTTCTTTTATTTTCATATTCTTTGATTCGCCTTGAGGCTAGAACCCTCTAGGGAATTGCCTTTTCTTTTGAGATGGGTTCAATTCAAGATTCATCATATCTTTAATTGAACCCCCATTCTTTTCTTTCTTTATTTTTCCTTTTCTTTTATTTTCTTGATTTTTATTTCCTTCATTTTTCCTTTCGTTCCTTGTGATTTCATTTATTATTTATCTATCACTCTTAATATTAGTTTTTACACACAATCATTCTCATTCTCTCTATATCTCCACAATCACATCTATCATCACTCCTAATTGTCATGCACACAACATACGAACTGATTCTAATAATTTCCTATAAACACATTCCTCGTGAGATCGATAACTTTTTATACTATAACTTGACTAATCGTACACTTGTAATTTTTGGTATATGTTTATACTGCATCAGACACAAAAACTATTCTGAAGTCCCCCAGCGTTGATTTTTTGCTATAAAATTAGCTGCAGACCCCTATTTAAACCAGAATCTATTATGTAACCTGTCTGAAAGTAATGGTTATTTTCTAATTAACCCTTAAAAATTGCAGTATTTGTTCTGAAGTCCATATACATGTATAATTTATTTTCTTATGTTGAAAAGATTATTTAACTCTTGCTGATTGATAATGTATCATTGTATTTTTGAAATACTTATTTAAATTATACATGTGATATGGTTGTATTATTTTTAAATTGTTTAATTTTAATTTTTTATGAGATTAAAATAATATATAAAAAATTACTAATAGGTCTAAAATTGTTCGGAATTTCTTCTATAAAATAAAACAGTTTAGAATTTATTAGAAATTGACTATTGTTATTTTCTCTCATGTTGTCTCAATTATAATAAATAACAAAAGTTGTATAGAAGTGTAGATAGATTAATATATAAGAAATATAAATCTAAAGGTCTTCCATCATAAAGATATAACTTGGATAATAATCTTTTAGCTTATCTAATGCCACAAAGGATAAGGTTTGTTAAATTTTATTATTTAGTTATATCTCGCATAAGAATGCCAAGTATTTTATATAAAATGGGACCACTAGACTAAAATAGGTAGTACCACATGTTTTATATAAGATAGCTAGATTGATGGGTAAACACTTTATTGATGTCTTGGGATGCTTGCTAAAATAGTAGAGTCGTGTCATACATCAAAGACCAAAATTAAAGGAAATTCATTAATTGCTAAAGATTGAATAACTGATTCTACCTTATTAAATTATATTCGATCTTAAAAATCTGGAGGTTTATAATTAAGCTTGGATTTCTTGTTCACATTTTTTATATGAGAGAAAAATATTAATGTGAATTTCATTACATAAATTATCCCAAGTAATGATTGTGTAATAATAAAATATAAAATTAAGATTCTTATGTTATTATGTTCTACTTGTGTAGGATGACTAAGTTTAGTCCTTTTGCTAAGCTATTTGATGATTATATACTGTCTGGCCTGAATTATATGGATTGAAAAAGAAATTTATTTATTGTCCTTACTGTTAAAAAATTGGCAAAAGTTGTTAAAGAGGACGAACCTGTTGAACATTGTCCTGATGCAACAAAATATGAGATTCTCGAGCATGATGAATGGGTTGAACATAATGAACTTGCAAAGTACTATATTATGGCTTCCTTAGACCCTACTTTACAAAAGCAGCTATTAGCAC